TCTACTCCTGTTTCATATATATTTCTTTGAGATTCGGTCAATTATTTTCCAAAAAATTAAAGAAATTAGAAAAACCGGTTTCCAAAAAATCGGTAACGAAAAACTATACACATCATGACACTCCCCGGGAAATTCTACCCCTACTTCATATACAATACTTTCAAAATCGGTCGAATAGTTTAAGAGTGTATAAAGAACAGACATACATACAGACATACAGACATTCCATTTTATATATATAGATATATTATTAATTAATTTCTATAATATAATCAGTATTTACGAGCAGAGCATAGATTACGTGGCATATTGCTAAATTTAGAAACGTATATATACGTTTCTCAGTTTTTATGAATGTACATTTGTTTAATTAGCCCCATTGCTTTTCGTACATTTTCTTGTCAATGTAAAAAAATCTTATAATTATAAGTTTAAGCTTTTTCTATTAACAATTAGAAAATTATTTTAGATATTATTGTAATACCATTTTCTTAAAAATAGCATTGAGTAAAATAAGTTTTATAATTGTTAGAATGATTTATTTTTACTTAATATCGACTTTAATTGCTACCGATTTCAATCCACCCACCAGTTTTGGTAAAATGTTATAGACATATATAATATACATAAAAACATATCGCATATACATAAATATTTTGTAAATTAAAGATTAAACGATTCTTGACTAATTACACTGTAAAACTCCATTTTTATATAAAAAATAAAGACGGAATATAAGAAAATCTGTTTTTGTTGAATGAAGTTTTTATCTGGTTATCTGGCAATAAAATATGAACAATTTTGTTTTTTTTTCATAGTATTCTTTCGCATTTAAGACAATTTCAATTTTTAATTATTACAATTATATATTATAAAATTTGTTTATAATAAGAGAGTAGTTTTGATTATATAATAAGAAACTCGTTTTTTATTTAAAAATAAGGTGACAAAACTGTTGATTGAAAATGTCCATCACAGCCCATACAGCATGGAATATGCAAGAAATGTGCTATAAACAATCTATAAATATTTTAATATTCCACGGGTCATTCAGAATATTCTGTAGAAGTTCTATAAATATTCCATGAAATTTTGTCAATTCGGAATATGCATAGAATATTCTACAAATGTCTAATAAATATAGTACATTTAAAAAATGCATAGAATGTTCTATAAATATTTTGACAAATATAGAATATTTGGAATATTTACGGAACATTTTGTTAATATTCTTAAACATTTATAGCATGTGCTATGAATATTCTGAAAAACTTTTCTAGAATTGTTATGAATATTTCAATAATAATCTGTGAACATTGCAATGAACATGAAATATTCAGAATATTAATAGAATATTTTTCACATATTAGTAGAATATTTTTAAAATAATCTATAAACATTTTAGGAAAAATATTGAAAACATTCTAATTATTCTAAGAATATTTAAAGAATATTTTGGAACATTATATAAATATTCTGGAAAGCATTAATAAAAACTTTTTAGAAATCCGAGACTCTTACGAGCTAACGAAGGGGAAGCGTAACGAGACGGCGAGAGAGTCCCCAGGTAGGAAACGCCGATACTCGAGAAACGGGTCAAGACTGGCACGAGTGTCGGCTTGCCGACGTTTAATGCCCAAGCCTGGCCCAACTATTACCCGAATTTGGGTAGCCGAGGCTTGGCAAGCAAGTGCCGCCCAATATTGGGCCAAAGCTTAATAGCCCATCCTTATTCTTTATCATTATTATTAAATTTACAATTTTCTTTTTAAAAAAATAATTAAAAATTGTGACATGACAAATGTCACGTCTCTCACCCCAGGTGGGAGCTCGGCCGAGGGAGGCGTCAGGGATGGTGCCTCCGCCCGGGGCGGGCAGAGAGCGAACTTAGGTTAGGCTTAAGATCTCTTGCGAGCGTTACAGGTCGAGGGAGTGCGGAGCAGATGGCCAGGGTTACGGAATTGTAACGGCGTATGCCGCACCGAGGGACTTACGGCTGGAAAGCAGGGAGCTTCCAAGGACGGACGGTCGACGGACGGGTCACGCTGGAGCCCACAGCCGGAACAGCCGCTGGCCTGTCAAAGCACCACATAGCCCGCACAACAGCACTGCAGCCCGGAAACGGAGGACCCGAGAGGGGGGACGCCCCGACGAAGGTCCCCGTCGAGGAACGGGGTCACCACCGGGAAACCGCCACCGGTCAACGAGCCAGGGCCCGTCCAGCCTGGCCGTCGAACAACCGGATGATGAGTCGCGGCCTGGACAGCCGGTCTCACACAGGCGGGCTTTTAAAACTACCACCGGCGGACGACAGCGGATGCGAGGGGCGCCCTCGCAAGGCGCGGCGATCGCCTAGAGGGATCGCTGGCAGGCCAGGGCGCAGCACCGACCAGGCTAGGGAAACCGGCGCGCGCTGGCGCGCGCGAGCCCAGCGTGGTCCCGTCCCGCCGGACCGAGAGAACGTTACTGTCGTGCGAGCCGCCATCCCGGCAACATCCAGCCCTGCGAGCCGAGCGACGAGCTGCCGGAACCAGAAGAATTTGTAAGGCCACTGCTCAACCTCCCCGAAGTAAGATCGCGGTAATACCAAGGCCCTCCCGGGAGTCGCGTTGTGCCGCGGGAATACATGGAATCCGCCGTAATTGAATCATACCGAGTGCCATACCGCGGGAGGGCCCGTGCGACAAAGTGATCGCGAGTGCCCGTCTCGGGGATGCAAACGTACGGCCGCCGACAGTCAGCGTGATTGTAATTTCGTTGCGTGTGATTTTGTTTCGTGTACTTTTGTTGCGTATAATTTCGTTGTGGGTAATTTTGTTGCGTGTAATTTCGTTGCGGGCAATTTCGTCGCGTGTAATTTTGGAATCGTCGTTGGCTTAACCGTGCCGTAGTTTGGGAGGTGGCTCTCGCGCGTGCGTCTCGTAGTTATCGTTGCCGGTTAAGTTCGTGCCATTTGTAATTGGCTATCCGTGCGTTTCATCGGGATTAATGGCACACGGTTGTGTCGAGTTTACGGTTGAGGCCATTCGTGCGTCTCGAGGGGAATGAAGATCCCCAGCGTTGTCGCGGTAGATCGTAAGGAAATTGCACTAATTGTTTAATTGTTAGACGTAGACGTTTCGAGTATTTCGCGTTTGACCGTCCGGGTAGAATTCGACGCAATTTATGTCGGAGAATAGTCTTGTACGAATTCGATCGGGATCGCCGTACAGTTCAGCGACGGAATGAGTATCGCGCTCGTGGGGTGACACGTGGCGCGTACTCGAATTCTGCTTGTTCGCCGTGGAACACGCTATCCTTCACTTGTGATCTGCATTAAACTGAAATATAATTTTGGGTGCTTTCCAGCAAGGAACACAGGCGATACTGTGTGGCACAGTGTCAGACACAGTGCTTTCCAACAACGACACAGCGAAGCACATCTCGACACAGCATCGGTGTAGAGTTCGAGTGTGTTCTGTAGGCATTGTTGCCAATCTTTAAAAGTGAAAAACTTTTTTCGATCAGGGGGTCGATCATGAATCTTTTTTTCTAGCGAGAATTCGTGAAAATTACATATATGTATCGAGTATACTCGATACATCTAATATAATTTTCACGAATTCACGAGAGGGAAAAAGTATCGTGAGCAACCCCAAATTCTAAATTAATAACTGTATTTTGTGATAATACATTTTAGACATGTTTCAATGTGAGCATTGCTCTTCAGAAATAACTCTTGACGACGTACCGATTCATCAATGCTTTATTGAACAGGATGTTTATATGAAAGAAAACAATATTCTTTTTGCAACTACAACAAAACAATGTAAGTATCTGGAAAAACTATGTTTTGCAAAAGTTAAGGTTACTTATGGCTCGATATAACGTCCTTCTTTTAGCATCTGATAGCTGTGATATGAATAAAAAGCAATCGGAAGATGAATGTATTCTTCCAGAAATATCTTCAGGATCTTCTGAGCCGGTTAATACAAAACAGCGTATGTATTTAATGAAAAATTTATCATAAAAATAATATAATAATGTATACTATTTAATACAAATATATTACCATATACTAGTATAACTGGCATTCACATATAGTTTCTTAATCATGAATAATCCCATAAGTGATAAGTAATGTGATAAATTAAAAAAATATAAATTAATTCTTTTAGAAGCTGTTTGGGACAAACGTGCAACACTTGCATTACTAGCTTTATATGAAGCAAATATAGAAAACATTGATCATCCTAAAAAGAAGACCAAAATTTGGTCAAAAATTTCCATGGGTTTGCTCGAACATGGTATTGAGGTGAGTTTCATCTTAATATACAATGTGCATATATCAAAGGTCTTTAGAATTTCTCCTATAAGATGGAATAAATTTAATTGTGAATTAGACTAATTTTTTTATTATAAACATCAGGTGTTGTTAAAAATTGAAATTTTACATATATATATATATATATATATATATATACCTATATTCATTGTGTGAACATCCGAGGTGATATTATCGTCTATGAAAGGTAACCTGTTTAAATATACTTTAGTGGAAACGTTAGACTTTCGTCTATCGTTACAGAGAGTGAACGTTAGACATTCGTCTACCGTTACGAGAGAGATCATCAATCCTCTCAAGGTTAGTCTCGGATATTACAATTCTCAGAGATCACTAGAGCAAGTAAGAGGAAAACTTCCTCGCTTTTTGAAAAGGACGATAAAAGTTATCTCGAGTCTTATTATTATACTGAGCTCAGTCTAAAGTAAAATCATTAATTGTGCGGTTGCAACCATTTTCGTGATAAGTAAAAAGAAAGACTTTATTTTTCTTATTTGTGCGATTGTTCCTTTATCATTAATCAGATAATTTTCGTATTGTTCATTATGTTATTTTGCGAACATTCTTTAAACTTACTCGTAAGAAGTATTCAATGAAATTGCGTTTCTTGCGAAACATATAAATCGTCTCTTGCGTTATTATCAAACTACTGATTATTCATTTTCGTGCGTTTCTATAAGAATTGTTTCTCCTTGATTTAATAATTGTTCTACTAAGTATTTTGCGACTTGTTTCTCATTGATTTGATGATTATTCTCATAAGTATTCTGCGAATTATTTCTCATGGACTTGATAATTATTCTACTAAGTATTTTGTGAATTCTGATTGATCAAATATTCCGTTTATGCTAATATGAATTAATGTGTCGATCCAAACTATAAGGCCTATGAATAATATATTGAGAAATGCTTATACTTTATCCTTTTTGTATTGAATACATGATTTTGCTGAAAGAGAAGTATTTGTTCTAGAGCAAATTTTGATATATGGTAAATGGTAAAAGGCCAACGAAAAGTAATTGATATTCAGAACTCAAAGATTGATACATTGATTCAAGAACTATTTCAATTATGTTTGAACTGAACTTATATTCTGATTGATTTGATTTATTTGTTGAACAGTCCTATCCTGAAATTACATGTTCCTTTTTAATTTTGACTACGTCAATAGAAACTCTGAGATTACGTACTATCAATATTTCCTTTATAATTAACCTGATTATATATCGAGGCAAAGCTTCAGTGAATTCAACTTTTATTTCATCATCAATACCAGGAAAGAACTGTACTATAATAATTATTGATTTGTTTCCTTTGTGTGTTTTATGCATTTATTGTATATTCATTATATGTTATATAATCTATGTAATAACCTGTTCGAGAATACTGGGAAGGTTTTCGGGCAGTTTCCCTTCTCCTATGCAACAAATGTTGGTATTCTTTGTCTAGTTCTGCCCACTCGAGTCATTTCAAATTACTTAAATTTATTAAATGCAATCTCTCTCTCAATAAACGAATTCTTATTATTTGTTCCTTCCTCATCTAATTCTAGAGTTCAGGTGTTCGGCGTATCGCCTTGTAAATAGCATAGTTACTTTATGTCCATGTATTCATGTATCGTTTATACTTAGTTGCATAAGTCGTTTGTAATTCTCGCGCGAAACGTCGGCGGATCGCGATCAGCCAAATCATGCGACTCACCTGTCGGTGCTGCCATCGCCCATCCGCCGACGGTATCCACCCCCCCCCCCCCCCCCCCCCCCCCCCCCCCCCCCCCCCCCC